TTTTTTTCTCCGCCTCTTATATCCATGTTATAGTGGCGCCCGATGCCATCAGCCATCATGTGAAAACGTGCCGTGATAATCTGAAGCAGTTGCATTACATAGCACCAGAATACGAATGTAAGAAATCTCTAGAATCCATATCGATTCCTCTGATTTTATACGAGAATTTTTTTCCAGATCTGACTGAAGTCACCCCTGCCGCGGACATTTACTCATTTGGTGTTTGTGCCCTAGAGGTCAATTTTTAAATAATTTATCATCCGTCACAGTAAACGAATTTTTGGTTTAGATAGCAGCACCGGGTGGCTTGGCCAGCTATCAGAATGGAGCTGGAGAAGGAGAAAAAGCGAAAGAAGGGCCCATCAATCCGGAATGCTTGGATAAAGCATTAGAAGCACTGCAAGATGAAGGCCAGCGGGTACGTATTGTCTAATTCTAGTCTCGTCATCTCAGTTCTTCTTATATTTTCTCGTTATCTCTATTCTAAGGACTTCATACGGTTGTGTCTTCAAAAAGATCCGACGAAGAGACCAACAGCGCGAGAACTGCTGTTTCATCCGGTGTTGTTCGAGGTAAGCAATTGATTCGTTTTTGTTCGCTCTTATATTCGACACATGTGATATCTAATGTTTGATTTGGTGATTCACTCCTCTATCTGTAGATCTCTACTTTTGATTATGTTATCTAGAAAGTCAACTTTGCTGTATCCAAACGTTTTCTATGGTTTTGTAACCAGACCAACAAAATTTGGAAAAAATATTGAACTAGCTGATGCGAGGACATCAAAGAAATTCAAACACTGGTGCCTCTTGGTTAAGGTCAAATCAAGTCATTAAGGCTAGGTTTTCTGTTTCTCGCCCCCGTAGTAATGTGGCTACCGGAGCAAGGACAAAAACTCTAAAAATTGGTATAGCTGAACTTTGCCTTTTTGCGCAGTTTTTGTAAGGCGGGCAATCAAAGTTTCGCTAAACATGTTCATAATACGTAATGAGCCCTTCTGGGGTGCGCTACGCATCCGAAGCGCGGGTGCGTCGCGTGTCGACTTCCAATGGATAAGTCCAATCTACAGTTGCTCAAACTAAATACCTGCATACGCTCGGTGGATGTGGGATTGAGCGGAGACACTGCGATTGGAATAGACTGCCTACGCAATACCCTTTGTAAGCGATTAAGAGCTGCAGGTGCTTCTAACAGCGCGACATGGCATTTAGGTAGTCAGTGAATAGGGTCTAATATCTCAGTTTCAACGCTAAGCCAAAGTTTGCGAGAGTTGTTTTGCTTAACAACAATTGCTATCGCTTGGAGCGAGGGGTGCGGGGAGGGGGCATGGGGGAAGGAGGCTTCCATCAATGGAACGTTGAAAGTCTCAACACCTCTTCTTCATGG